TAAAAAATAAATATATATGGAAAATAAATAAATAAATGAGTAAAACAAATGGAGTAATCGGCATTTTTATTCTCATTTATATTTATTCTTTTATACATTTATTCCCTAATTTATTTGTCCTTTTTTCATTTTCTTTTTTCCCTATTCATTTATACTTTTCCAATTTTTATTTTTCAATTTTCCTTTTTTATTTATCATTTTCTAATTTTCCATTTTCGTTTATCTTTTTTCAATTTTATTTTTTCATTTATCCTTTTCCAGTTTTTACTTACCCCTTTTCATGTTTTCATTTTCATTTATCCTTTTTTTCATTTACCCCTTTTCAATTTTTCGTTTTTATTCATCCTTTCCCAATTTTCCGTTGTCATTCATTCTTTTTCATTCTTCCTTTTTCAACTTTACTTTTTCATTTATCCTTTTTACAATTACTCAAGCCGAGCAGAGATTGTTAAAAACATTACATTCAATCCATTACAATATTAGGTTGTTTTCATGCTTGATATTTATTTCATGATTATCAGTACTCCCCTGAACCCAGCAGTGCTTGATGAGCTAGCCTTCACTGCTAGTCAGTCCGTCTTTGAGTTGCCTTTTTTTTTTTCATTTAGATAGTGGAATCGAAATGCACAGAATTGTGCAACACCTTGTTGAAACAATAATTACTGAGATTATTAATTTTGTTGGGTCATTAATTTCAACATGTTTTGCTGATTTTTTTGTTATTATTCTTTTATAAAGTTACAAATGTTTTGGATCTTAGTGATGATTTTGATAAGTGTATCAGAAAAGGACTTGCTGGTCTCAGTCTCCTGGTGGCATTCAGTTTGTTACCTTCTGCCAAGATCAACTGAAAACCTTTCCGCGACCAACCGGTCAATCACCATCGACGTATTGAGAATCCCTGAATTAGATTGTTAATGAAAAGTTAATGTATTTCAGTAACTCAGCTCACAAACAAACTCTTTAGAGTAATTACACAGACCTTTTACAGCTTTTACTTATGTCAATGCTCATCTTGTGTTACTGCTAATGAAAACATGGTATTTAGGATTATATTACATCAGCAGTGAAAAAACATGTTTACTACCTGCTTAAATGTTATTGTTGAATTGTGTAACTTTTTAGATATTAAATACTTGATAACTTGATCAGTTACTCAGTACTTGAGTACACTTTTTACCAAATACTTTCTTACTCTTACTTGTGTAGTTTCTTAATCAGCTACTTTTTACTTTCACTTGAGCAAAAACATGTTAAAATACTACTGTTCTTACTTTAGTAAAATTTTGGGTTCTCTGCCCACCTCTGGAGAACAGTAACCAAATGTTGAAGCAGATGTGTAGCCCAAAACCAGGTGAACTAAGGTGGGCAAGTTATACATCCACATAGAACTTCTTAAATTAATAGTCATCTTTACTTTATATGCATGCAAACATTAATGCATTTGGGCACACTGAATAAACTGAATAAATAAATTACTTCTGGTGTTCCTCTTCATGTGATTTAAAACTCATGACACATTTTTAAACTCAGTTCAGGGAGATTATCAACGGAACAAACTGAACCATGAATGTAAAGACGATCAGCCAGGAAATGTTTCATTGTCATGCGTTTATTGATTTATTTTTAATTTCTGACGCAGAGAAAAGCTCTATGGGGAGGTCAAGGACAGGTGAGAAAAAAAAAAAACTATTAATTTATCCTAATTGTACAAAGTTGTGGAACAAACTGATGAAGGTACAACTATAAAATTATATCTGAGAAGAAATTTGATGAGAATTTTATTTTATGACAGTTTGTGTTTTATTTAAGCCCAGTTTTTGATTTTATCCACCCCAGGTATTCACACACATCCATGATTACAGCAGGTGTCTGACATGGATCTGGTCCACCTTCAGCAATCACACCATAAATCCTGTTGTTGAAGATCGCTCCTCCACCAGAGTCGCCCTGTAGAAAATGTTCCATCAATATATTTATTTGTATTGTAAAACTGAAAAGTCTTCTAATCACTGTAGAGAGATATTGAAGAAACGACTTACATAACATACATCCTTGTTTGCTGCTGAAACACGGAAATAATGCCCATGTGTTGGTTCAAAGAGTGAAACCTTTAGAACATTCATGTTGACACACTGAAGATGTGGTGAAATAGGAGAATCGGGTACTGTAGAGAAACATGAGAATCATAAACATGTTATTCGCTCGACCTTCTCTGTAGAATCAGAAACAAAGATTATCTTCTCATAACTTCAACATTTCTCTCACATCGCTGATTATTGGGGCCGACTGTCGTTCCTCCCTCTCCTGCCAGCTGAACAGTATTGCCTCTAAAACACAATAAAATGTAAAAGTACAAGATGATAATGTAGAAAATTAATTGTTATGAAGAACAAAGAAAGAACAGACAATAAATCCTTCCAGGACTTCATCCACTGACACAGGAGTGTTCACCTCCCGTCCTCAGGGTTCTGCAACCTTTGCATGTGTCTCTGGTCCAACACACCTGAGCTAAACGGATTTTGGTTCTGCTGGTGCCTTGATTACCTGAGTCAGGTGTGCTGAAGCAGAGGCAGCAGGACTGGAGGAGACCAGACCGAAAACCTGAAGTCCTGTCATTGATCAGAGAAAGACTTACATTTTAAGACGATTACTGCATTCTGGTAGCTGAGCAAGTGGGACATCTGTTACTGGTGTTTGAAGCTTCAACAACATGATGTCATGCTGCTGGCCGTGGTCAGTATAAATCACAGGATCGTGTTGGATTATCTGATCGTGCTGTTTAGCAGTCCGTGGATGAACTCCGAAAGTTGCTGTGAGAATCCTGCAGAAAAAGTTAGATAATAATGAGCATAGAAAACCTGATCATCTGCAGGTAAAACTGTCTTCTTGTTTCTTTCCTACCAGTCTGTCTTCCAGCAGTGAGTTGCAGTCAGGATCCACTCAGGGTGGATCAGAGATCCTCCACACAGGTTCCCTGTAGTAGGATTCCTGGCCACGAGCCGAACATGATAAAGAAGCTCCTTGTCATCACAGTTATGACCTCTAATGATTCTCTTCTGCAGAGAAACATCTGAGTTCACTGAAACACCTGAAGAAGAAAAAAGAGAACTTTACTCAGACATCAGGTGCAAACTTGGAGGCTGGAACAGAAAACGTATGAACAGCTGAAGATTAAAAAAGCATCGCAATTTATATGCAACAAAGTTTCAGTCTGAAACAGAATCAGAGCGAAGTTTGAGAGTCACAGAGAGCAGCAGCCTCCCTGGAAGCAGTGGGAGTATCTCCAGTGTATCCAGTCTGTCCAGTGTGTCCAACTCACCCAGCACCAGCACCAGCAGAACCTTCAGCAGACCCATGGCTGATCCAGCTTCCTGTGAATGTCTGCAGTTCTGCAGCAACTTTTAAACTCTGTTTACAACTTCCTGCTGGACAGGAAGCCAAAAAATCACAGGACGGACACCGATCTGTCCAATCACAGGATGGACACTGATCTGCACTGTCATCTGCATACAGAGGATCTTTAACAACTCATAATTCTAAAGAAACTTGAAAAAGGTTCATGTTCCATTGACAGATTATTTCACTAGTAACTAAACATTTCTTCCTCTTATAACTTTAATAATCAGCCTATGAAACAAGAACGTTTTCATCAATGTTAAGGAACTGACTTAAAACAAGCAGCTTCTATATTTTGCTGCAAAGCTACTTCTAAGTTAATTTTACCTTAACTCAGGTTACCTGATATGTGCATAACTGACAGCTGAAGGAGGAACAGCTTAATTTCTTTTAATTTTACCTTACTTTTAACTTTAGTAAGACCAACACATCCACCCCACAAAGCTCCAAAGGACAAAGAGACCACCAGTAAAACGAAAAGTATGCCAAGAGATCTATTGGCAACGCTTTTACCTCTTTGACAGAGGCAGACGCAATCTTAATAAAGATGGGACAAATCTACTCACTGCAAATCTTTTTCATTTTATCAACAAGGACAACATTGTGACCATCGCTTCAGAAGAACAGGCTCAAGGATGTCTGACTAGGATGGGACCCTCCGCGTATCAAGAACAAATTATTCCAAAACATGCTGATATATCATCGACTGGGGACAGAGCGACTAGTTCCCCTCCTTCTTCCCCCTGCCTCTCTGCTCCTCCACTGATCCACAAGATACCTATGAAAAAATGTCTTCTGGACCAGAGTTTCTCAAATTTATGGATGGAATGGATCAACTAGGTTGGCCTCAGCACGACTCTCCTCAGCGCTCATGTAGCAGACCTCCCTTCATCTAAGCCACCTGCCTCTGACTTCCCAGAGGATCCAGCACTCTGCGTTTCTGGGGTCTGAGCCCGGGGTCCAGATATTATCTTTACACCCGTCTTCCTCCAGAATGTGTCTGGTCCCCCAGCACCGCATAACAGGACATTACCT